CAACCTTGTAATTACAACTGATTCCCAATACGCCATTACAGCAATCGAAAATGCTACTAAAAACTGTCAACGACCCTTAAAACAAGATACAGCGCATGTAGATTTGCTCCAAATCGTACGTAGGCATTGGCGTCCAGGTCAGTTCATTCTCCGAAAAATTAAGTCCCACCAGGATATTCAGACGGCGACAAACCTTTGTCAGTACAACGATATCCGAGGAAATGATTTTGCTGGCACAGCAGCCGTACACGCTCGTCGCACCGATTTCGCTGACAGAAACACCCTTTTTGCCACTGTTGAAAAGTGGAATCAAGCCCAAATTCGTCAGACCATTAGTATTCTCAGATATTTGCTTGACCTCAATCTTGCACATGTTGTCATTAAAGAATCCAATAGAAAGGAAGAAGCAGACGGGCAAGACCATGACCCAGACCAAAATTGGGGCACCATCCAGCAGACTCGTGCAACATACACCGTTGCTGATCCGATTGCCTTGCCTCAGCCAGATATACACCCTCATGTGTTTACTGCCTGCTTGTGGGGGGGCGGATTACGCGAAAATGGTTTTGTGTTTCTTTCAGTCGCTTATATGGCCAAATCCTGATGGTTCTCATGACACGGTCACAAAATCCGGGATCACGCGGCACGAACTCGCTATTGCGTTCATTCTTCAGACGGGGATGCAATTTCCATGTTGGATTAAACCCCCTAATAGATCAAGAGCGCGTCCACACCACTACCAGGACCCGAAAGTCCTTGCCTTGCCCGCTAAGTTGCGCTCGCTTCGAGAACAAGCAGATGCATTGAGAATCATCATCCAATGTTTGCAAGGATTCAGTTCCGTGCCATTGTATCCAAATTTTCACAAGACAGCCTTAAATAGTTTGGTACAGGTTGGATGGGGTCGTACATACACTGAAGGATTTCCCTTGCGCCCAGAAATCGCTAATTCAGATATGCCCAAAAAACTTTGCAACTTTATGCCACTAATCTTGGCATTAAACATCCGTATCATCCACTTGGAATGGTCCCCATGACCCATAGCAAGGTGTGCATTTATGCAGAGCCAACTGCGAATCTTGAATATTCCCAATGTTACCACTTTATAGTAATTCAAGAGAAGCTTGGAACAAAGGCCATTCCCTCGATGCGCTCGTGCCACCACCGGCTCCGAATTAGGTTGTTTCGTGTGTTTTTCACACGGAACGTATAATTCATGCGAATCAGATCAACCACACGTCGATTCCATGGTGTACAGATTTCTTTAGCTTACATGCCACACTCCCAGATACCCGATGAAACCGAAGGGTCTTGGGAAGCGCCTCAGACAGAGACCGCAAGTATCGTTGGTAGGTCAAAAAGAGCGGAGTTGGCCGCAATTGCATGGATCATGTGTGAATGTAGATTAAAGAATATCACACACCAAGTAGTCATTACCACAGACTCACAATACGCCATTAACGCAATCCACAATCTTCAGATTCCATTCGACCAAGCTACAGCACATGCCGATTTGCTTCTCATTATGCGTGACAATTGGCGACCAGGCCAATTTGTTCTCCGACAAATTAAGTCCCACCAAAATATTCTTGAGGCCACAAATTCGTGCCAATGCAGGGATATTCAAGGGAATTCTTTTGCAGACGCAGCGGCTGTTCGTGCACGCCACACAGATGCACCTGACCACCATAATGCATTTGGACAAATCGAGAGATGGAACCGGGCCCAAATTCATCAAACAATTTGTGTCTTAAAATATCTTCATGATCTCAACCTTGCTCACATGCGAATAAAGAAAAAGTCAGACAAGATAATGCGGCAGATACGCACGAGGACCCCGGCCAGAATTGGGGAACGATACACCAAACAAGAGCCAGCTTTGAGATTTCTCACCCAGAGATTCTACCCTTACCTGATATTCATCCACGTGTGTTTACAGCATGCTTGTGGGGAGCGGATTATGCCAAATTAGTTCTTCGCTTTTTCCGATCCCTGCGATGGCCTAACCCGGACGCTCCTCATGATGAGATCACCAAATCCGGCATAACATGGCATGAGTTAGCCATTGCTTTTATCCTCCGAACAGGATTACAGTTTCCATGTTGGATTAAGCCACCACATCGTTCTCGTGCCCGCCCACACCATTTCCAAGATCCTAAAGTGTTGGCACTTCCATCTATATAAATTGCGTTCGCTTCGCGAACAGGCAGATGCATTGCGAATCATCGTCCAGTATCTCCAAGGCTTCCCTAAATTTCACAAGACGGCTTCCAGTAGTTTGGTCCAAGTTGGGTGGGGTAGAACATATACTGTCCTTTACGACCAGAAATTGTCAATTCGGATCATGTTCAGAAAACCTTGCAACTTTACGCCACTAATCTTGGCATCAAACCCCCCTATCGTCCATTGGGGATGGTACCGATGAACTTTTGTAAAGTGTGCATTTCAGTGAAAGCTACAGCTAACCTGGATTATTCGCAATGTTACCATTTCAGAAAAAGATAACTGAGCGTCGACGTGCAGCATGGTCGGTGGTTCAATTCAATCCATGTAATCACGATGTGCCATTTCGGACCATAATATTGCAACATGTCCAAGGTGACCAGACGACTTCCCGTGCAGAACTGGCGGCCATCGCGTGGGTCATTCAAACCTGTGCCAACCAGTCAGTCCAACAACAGGTTGTGATAACGACAGACTCCCAGTATGCAATCTCTACCATCCAGGCGGCAGTCCAAGACATGTCACGACCCTTACCTCCCAATGTCGCCCATGTTGATCTCCTAAACAATATTCGATTCCAACCAATTTGTGTTAAGAAAAGTCCGTTCGCATCAGCGATATGATCTTGCAACAACCCCCACCCAACGATTAGACATTCAAGGGAATGATTATGCAGATATTGCAGCCGTCCAGGCACGTAAAATTGATAAACCAGAGATCCATAAGCTCTTTGCAGACATTGAAAATTGGAATCAAGCACAAGTTCACCAATCCCACGCAGTTCTACAATACCTTCATGATCTAAATTTGGCACATATTGTACTTAAGGAAAGTCGCAAAGATAAGGCAGCAGAGCCAGACCACGAGGACCCAACGCAGAATTGGGGAACCATCCACCACTTGCGCTCAAACCTTCGACTCTGTAATCCCATTATCATGCCTGTGCTCAGTATACATCCCCATGTTTTCACTGCCTGCCTGTGGGGAGCCGGTGTTTCAATCCATTGAGTGGCCTAATCCAGATATCCCACAGACGCAGTCGGGCAATCAGGAATCACCTGGTATGAATTGGCTATTGCCTTTATCCTTCAAACAGGGTTACAGTTCCCGTGTTGGATCAAGCCTCAAAATCGATCCCAGGCATGGCCTCATCACTACTTGGATCCCAAGGTTTTGGCCCTCCCCCCAAAATTGCGATCCTTACGTGAGCCGGATGCCCTTCGCATTATTATTCAATACCTCCAAGGTTTCTGCTCAACACCGCTATACCCCAAATTCCACAAAACTGCCTCCAACAGTCTCGTACAGGTGGGAAAGAACGTATACCGGTGGCTTTCCATTGCGGCCGAAACTAATCAACTCCGAGGCGGTTCAGAAAACACTACAATTGTATGCCAAAATCTGGGAATCAAACCACCCTACCATCCGCTGGGCATGGTTCCCATGCAATTCTCTCAGGTGTCTATCCAGGTTGACCCGGTGGTCAATTTAGATTACTCCCAGTGCTATCACTTTAGGAAAAAATTAAGGGCAGTATGGAACAAGGGAGGAAACCTCGATGCTCTGGTGCCGCCATTACCGCACCCTCAGGGGGCGAAGGAACCTTCAATTAGATGCATAAATTTGACGCAGTGGGTTGCTCTCGCTACGTGCTGCGCGGATATTTGGTTTCATGTAGTTAGCAGAGTGATCACATGATTTGTATAGTCTTGGACCGTATCCTTCATACAGTGTCCTTCTTTTCATCCCATGTGTATAGTTTACATGGTAGCTAGCAATCTCATCTCACTCCCAGGTACCCACGCGCAGGATCATTGGAGCGCAAGTCACGTCGGTAGGTCAACCAAGGTATCCTACTACTAGTATAACCCACAGACATATCATGTGACATATCTATATATGTGTATATATATATGTATATAATAATCAAACAGGTTTCTATTTGTTAAGTCAATCTTATCTATGACAAAATGCTGCAGAAATCTATATGATTGATGCGGTGCACAGCCAATTGCTTGCCTCCATCATGGAGCCTAGAAGCTGTGCCAGTGGCTCTGCCTGCTGCTTTGGCAGGTGCTCCTGAAGCCTTGCAAGGAAACTGCAACTGCACATCGAGTAAAGGTATTTTGACCAGTCGCGGTGTTCGGGGATCATGACCAGATGAAGCTACTAGTAACAAGTGCATCGATATCAGTAGCAAGCACTCTACTAGTAACAAGGTACCTTACTGCTAGAAACAAGAAGCTACTAGTAACAAGGTGCATCAATCGCTACTAGTGGCAAGAAGCTACTAGTAACAAGTGCTGACTTGCTTTGGCCCGGCCATCTGTTCAGCCCAAGAGAGGCATGTCCACATATTAGCTGAGCATACTGTCTCACCACTCATTGCATGAGTGGTGAGGGGGGCCCAACAATAAAACATGACACCCGGCACATACAACTTTGTCAGCACTACATTTCAGTCATGAAAATGTGACCATCCTATCAAAACAACTGCAAAGCGTAGAAGATATTTCAAGAACTGCTACTGCTTCAGCCCTACCTTCAACCATCGCTTAATGTCACAACTCTGATCCAAACGTACCCCGTTCAAAGGCTCATGTTACCCAAGGCCTCTCCAATAAAGAGCAACGGTCCAGGTGATGCATTGTCACCTGTCAAGCCCACAAGCTCCATGTTTCTTGATTCTACGCAGCAAATGCATGCATGACAAATCGTGATGTTCAAAGACGGAAAACAAATCTCACATAGCCAAGCTTGCAGATGTTGCCTTGCTGCTAATGAACGGCCACATCTCGATCGAAGACATGTCCAATCCTCCACGCAAAATGGGAGCAGAGTCTATACAAACGCCGGGCTGCAAACATTCCTCCATCTTGGTCCAAATCGTTGGGTGGAGAAAGGAAGGCCCGCAAGCGACGACTGCGCACCAACAAGGAGTAGGGCAACGGCCCCAACCTTAGGTGCATCGCCGTATCGCAAAGTATTCAGTGAGGTTTTAGCCTAACTCATGCGAAAGCAATGAAAAGCCAAGTGACAACTCCACGATTTGTGCTAAATGTTCTGGCTCTTGTGGAAAACAATCTCGAGCCTTCCAAGCGGAAAGAATCAGAAAAGCGAAGCTGCGTGCATGTATGTGTGTGTGTGTGTGTGCGCGCCCCAAAACTACAGGAGACGCATGATGCGGGAGATTCAAATAACATGTAACAAACCGACCGCGTGAGATGCGGTTTTAAAAGGAATTACATCGGCATAGTATATGGCATAAACCCCAGATAGCAAGTAAGTAAATTTAAAAACCGAAGCACCTGAGACAACAAAATCAATTAAGTCACCATAAGACAAAAGAAGTGGGGAGACCAGTGGGCGACAAGGAGACAAGGCAGCAGCGGCCAAAACGCGGATCAACCACCCTGTCATTGAGAAGTGAGAACCCCTATAGCTTTCAGCTATCTGGTGAAAAACTGGAGTCTTTGATGTAGAGGCTTCCAATCCAATAATTACACGAAAACCTTGCAAATAAAAAGATATTGGAAAAAAGAAGCTGTTTGAGCCTCTTTAACAAAGCCCCTTTCATAAGGCCCCTTCTTTAAGGAGTCAAATTTCAATGGACCACCTTCTACTTTTCCTCTCTGTTTGATGTGAAAGACAATTTTCTTCTAAGTGCAGCGGCTTGCAGTGTCTCGTGGGCAGGGCAGCATGTGTAAGCAGCTACTTGGAGGCTGTATGTCTTTGGCATGCCTGCCAACATCGTGTAACAAGATAGCTCTGGAGCCCATATATTGAAGCGATAGGGATGCAAGAATTCCAAACTACCTTGAGATAGGTGTGCTTTTTTTAGATTGCAGCTACGGCCATGCGTGCCAACAGTTGAGAAAAGTAAATCAGAGAAGAGAAGCCGCTACCGAGACAGGATAGATGTTTCAAAGGTTGCAGTTGCCAAGGACATGCCACACCACCAATCTCAATGTTGGGCTCCAGCTTTGCACACTTGTGGCGACGGGCCTTGATTTTGTTTGTCCGATCCCTGTCTGTTCCAAGTCAATATTCATATTCATATTTCTATGAGCAGCATAGCTCGCTGCAATGCTCGCCGGCTTGTGCAAAAGGAAAGGGTTGGGATAGACCTTCTGAGAATGGTCAACACACTCGCCACCTCTTGACAAAGACCACAGCTGGAGTCTAATCAAAAGTCAGAAGAAGTTAGGGAACACACATGCCTCTGGAAGCACATTCAAGTCAACCGTCGTAAAGTGGTGCACAAACATCATTTGCGGGCTTCTTTCCTTCCGCATCTTTTCTACTCCTCCCCGCCAGTTCTGCTCTGTCCAGTTTTCATCTTCTACTTGATGTCATGTCCTTTTTGATGTCAAGCGGGGAGCGTCCATCTTGTCAAGAAACAGGGGAATGTCGTAGAAACTGGGCAACCAGGCCTGCAGTGCTTTCGGTCTGGCTTGAGCATGTCGCGGGTCAAAGAGATAGCCTGGACAGCAACCACAAGGAAACGGTTGATAAGAACAAATTCACACGGGTCTCCCATCTGCAAGTACAACCCAAACAACTCAGCACACTTGCCAAGAGATCGCACACAAATGTCTGCAACATCTTCGACCTTCAAAATCCTTCAGTAAAGCGGCGCCCTGTGGCCAACTCGTAGATGGTGCAGCCTAAAGACCAAATGTCAGCAGCGGTGTCATAGCCTGCATTCATGATGACCTGAAGCCAATTTGCACGGCGAGACAGCATCTCAGGGCGGAGATGCGAGAGCAACAAGCTGATTTTTGTCTTGCTAATCGGCTAATCTCCCGCCAAGCTTTGATCCACATGAACAACATAGACACCTGCACAGAAACATTAGAAAACCACAAAAATTGCCGCTGCCTCTACAGGCTTGTATTCCAGCGTGGTGATATTCAAGGCAATGTGGCGATCCGTGTAACCTTACAAAAAATGAACTTTGGACTTGATGCATCAGTTTGGAATGCTGCTTTGATGGATCCCCGATGGTCACTGGTCTCTTGGTTGAACTACGCTACCCAACACTCCTGCAAACATATCGAGGCTGTATCTGTGCCTAATTTCAGCCTTTCTGCGCTCAGGGGTAATTAGCCTTCTAAGCACTGGCTGGGCTAGGAACAGCTGTTTCCAAGATCAACCAAGCCGAAGGTGGCATCAGAACCTGTGCAGTGCATGAGTATGCTCTTGTTTTGCAACATATACTCACTCGTCTGTGTTGCATGATGAGATATTGGAACAATTCCAGACGCACAAAACAGTGCATTGCAGGGACAGCTCCATTGTGCAAGGTCCTTCCTCATGGCCTTCCTCATACTGTCCGGAAAAGGGCAAGCAGCAAAACTTGAAAAACATTCTGGTAACAAAGACGCTACTAGGGGCTCCTGGCCTTACAAGGACGCTACTAGGGGCTCCTGGCATCGCTACTAGTAACGCACCTTCCTCAAGAGCCAAATCTATGAGTTGCATCCGCCCACATCTGCGTAAAGGTTGAGACCTGGAACAGAAGCTCTTTGTCGCTGCCGCTTGCTTTAGGGGCAAGCGGGAGATAGCAAAGGAAGGTCTACACAGTTTCTCCTACACATCCTACTTTGCACATTAAAAAGGGGCAAATTATGGGGTGGTTTGCCAATAGGATAAAAGCAGATCCTGCGTTGTGCGTGCTCAGAGTTGAAACGGCTAGTAAACTGGGACATGCATCACATTATGTCTTGGAAACCTGGGAGTTTCATAGGATGGATATTGCTGGTGTCGTGCTTTCATAAACAGTAACCAAAAAGAGCTCTTGATCCAAGTAGAAGTTCTGTGAATTAGTGCCACCAGCCACCTCAATGATTGATCTTGGAACTGAAACAACTGAGTTGAGCTATAGACATTATGCTAGCATTTGTCCCAAGTTCCAAGTCTCAATGTGGACAGTGAAATGCCAATCTCACAGCGCCTGAAACTCTGCATGAGGCAATCCATTCGGGAGCCTTTGGTGAAAGTGAAAAGTATGTTCTCGGGCTTGATATCCTCAAGTTGTGCAGCAGGTCAAGCGGTGGCTAAAGCGATAACATGCGCTTGATAAGCAAATCAGCCGCGGGTCTGTGTGGATCACGGAGCATGTCCTCGGTGGAGTTTTTGCTGGGAACACTCAATACTCTATGTTGTAATCTATATATTACATATATAATATACGAGAGATGGCGTGATAATTCTAGAGAGCAAACAAACTGAGCATCTCAGCTTCCAGCCTGTGTAAGTAGTCCAACCCAGTCAAAGTATCCCTGAAGGCTGCGACAAGAATAGGCCAAGGAAGTCGGTTGCCACGGCAGCGCCTTGGCCACCGGTTTCCATGCAAAGTCTTCCACTCGGAAAGTGTGAAGCTTCAAAGGAGCGCTGAAACTGTCCGAATTGCAAGGAGCGCTCTCGGGCATTCCGGTTTGAGACCAAAGCCGAAAGTGAGGGGTAGAAATAGGAAGAACCTAAGACACTAATATGATAGTGGCAGCGGCAGCAGCAGCACGGGAACGTTTAGGAGTAGCATGGCATAGCAGTACTGTAGCTGGAGCAGAAGCAGGACCGGCAACTCACAGGCCTTGACGAATTGGCATACTAGGGCCTAGGGTCTCACATTCATTGCTCCTGCTGTACTACGCCTACCACTGCAACGACGCTGCTACCAGTACCATTAGGACTACACCACTACAATTTTTGACTAGTAAACTAATATCAGTACGAGTTAAGACCCTGTGCAGTTTGGTTTTGAATTGAGCAAAAAACGTGAGTGCTTCGAGCGGCTCTGCGACAGACCAAGCGGAGGGACCCATCACTTCCATTGCAACGCAAGCATGTTGACACTTCAAGCCGCTGTGTACAAAGAGCCTCAGGTGATGAGACATACACAGGCTCCTTCTAAAAGACAAGAGAACTCTGACGAAAACTATCTGACATCAAAGAAACATCTTCAGCTGTGCAAAGAAATGCCATGTGGCCATGTGGCCCAAAAAGCTCTGGCAGCTCCTGCGGTCGGTTTCCTGCGTTCGCTACAGTTTGGAGCATCTCCACCTGCACTGCGTATCATTGCCTCTAGAACGACCGACTGCAATTATATATATTTTTTTTCTCTATTCCTCGGTATTACCGACTCGGTATATCACATTCGTCAGTTTGGAAGTCAGCAAGACAAAGAATTAATGTAAATGTGGTGCATCAAGCCATGGTGAACCTCTTCTTGTGCATATCTTTGGTATCTTTCCACCGCTTTGTACCTTGGCGAAAAATCTCATAACCACTTCGAGCATGGGACGATGAGTGACCTTGGGACCTGGCACTTTGAGTGCCACTAGGCTGTGCCTGTCGTGACAAAGCCAGACTGAGGCAAAAGCGCCTGCACGTTGAGAAGTTCTCAGGTTGCATGTGACCAAAAAAGACATACTGGATTCCTACCAATATTGTCAAGCCCACCAGGTAGCATGCACAATCTCTGCGCTTTGTGTTGCAAAGTCTGCGAATTTATTCGAAGGTGTTGCCAAAGAGTTCTGCGTTTGACCAATGAAAATTGGCAACTTTTAAAGTGTTAACGCCCCATAAAGCCCATGTCGAGCCTGTTCCCAACTTTCCTCGCACATGAAAGCGGTCACAAAGAAGCATCCGTGGACGAATCTCGTGTGAGCCCTGTCACAATTAGACTGCAAATCATACACTGTGTGAGCTCATTGAGGGAGACTAATCTTTTCTCTCGTGATTCTGCTTCTTGCTTCTCACTCTGGACAGAGCACTGAAAACGAATTTGCTTTACACCAGGGGGAACTAACACAGCTTGGTGCGGAACCTCTTCACATTCTGCAAGGTCTTCGGACGTGTCTGTTGCATCATCTGCCCTTGGAATGGTTGTGGCAGTGTGGAAGCTTGACACTGAATTGGGAAGGAAAATACGTGTATGACTGTCCCCTATTCACTTCTCCCCTTGACAAGCCCAGTAGCTTCCTTTCACAGTCTGAAACAAGCCAAACAAACCAAGGACGGACAAAAGCTTGAGGTCGCCACTGTTGTCTGACATGCTCAGCATGCAGTTCTGCAGCAGCATGAGCACCTGCCTTTGTAGTCCAAGTCAGCGTGCAAATCAAGTAGGAGTTTGTGAGTATCACTCATATGATCCCATATTAGCAAAAATGATGTCGTCAAGACACCACACGCTGTAGCCTCTCCAGCCTCGCGGTTTGCAGCACTGGAGCTGCAGTCGCTGCTGCTGCTGCCGCTGCTGCTGCTGTCCCAGTCTGTGCGGTCGCGGCTTCGGCTGCGACTGCGGCTGACGCTCATCAGCAAAATGCATTGTGATCAATTGGGTAGAGCCTCTTCTAGTCAAGTCCCAACTGTTGTGCTAATTAGGGTGTCTCTGGCATTTTTTGTGCCTTCTTTTTGATATCCGGAAGGAGTGTCTTGGCAAATACATAATTATCTCCACATACAAGAATACCAAAAGTCTGTTGCTTGCAAACTCTTGTCCACCGGTTTCTGCCTTTCACAGTACGTTTCACTTTCTGAGCATGGTGGGAAGGGTGAAGCAGAGTCAACGATGGTGTGGTATGGTTCTGGAGCCTGCTTGGAAATTGAGTAACCAAAGCAACTAGGTTGTTGCTTTATGTGTCATGCCAAGTCGTTGCCGTGTCTTCACCCTGAGTTTGTGCTTCAAGAATATTCAATTCGAACCCAGTCAGCTGCAGCTCAGTCCATTGTCACCAACAAGCATCCAACGTGGCGACATGGTTAAGGCAATCTATGAGCTTTGTGAAGAAGGTTGGCTTTTATTTTACGGCGATTGTAAGTCTTTTTGCTGTTCATCAGCAGTTGCGGCCCAACCACGTTCCTTCAGCATGACCTCACGCCTCTCACGAAGCTCCCGATCCAGCCGTCGAAAGAGAGGTGTCTTCATCGCGGAATTTGTGCTGATCTTGGACTGTTTTAAAGTCAAAGGGACACAATCAAAGTCAAATTGAAAAAGAAAAAATCCAAGAATAATTTGAAAAAGTATCTTGTCTCCAGCCACGCCACGAAGAAACGCCGCAAAGGCTCCTCACAAACCGTCGGCAGTGCAGACTCTGGATCAGAAGGCACGGAATTCCGATGGGGATCAGCATTTCCCACCTGTACCAAAGTGCGGTCGACTCAACCTATCCACACAGTGCGTTCCCTCTCGAGTCACAATCGATTTCAAACAAAACCGAGTCGAACCACCTCTTGCCAAGCAACTCCGAGACACCCCAACAATCTCAATTCATCTTTCAGACAGACTATATCCTGGCAAAGTTCCAACAAGAGTGTCCTGCGAATAGGCCCGATGCCCCAGCCTCACTAGCTGGTTTCAGGTGCTCTTTCTCATACTCAAATGCCTGGACAACCATCTCAAATTTGTCGATGTCCTGCACAAGCGTTGCACGTTAAAATATTCAAATGATGGCCTTTGATCTTGAAAACAAACCTTGCAAGGCTCCAGGATCCTTGCAGTAGATCGCCTCCACTGTTTCAAGCTCTTCATACTCCTTCCAAAGCTCGTACAGTTCGCTGCCCAAAGGGTCTCCAACAACTTTGCGAATCGCTTGCATAGCCTGATCCTCCTGGGCTGAAGATTGCAGAATCCGAAGGCTGTGTTCAAAGCAATTATGTTCTTGCTAAGCACTTTCAGCTGTTGAACTTCGCTTGACTCTACGCATCACACCCTGTACTTCTGTCTATGCAATTGATCTGCTTCCTAGTTGTACACCGGCATGTACTGTGGTTCAAAAGCACTGCAGAGGAATGAACGCACAGGAATAAAATGCACGTCTGCACTGCATCTGCGCCTTCTGGTGCTTAGATGCCACCAGATCTGCATTGCAGTATGGCGTGATGTCACCTGCAAGGGCCTCACAAAGGTCATGAGTCACTGTCATCCGCAGCAGCCGCACTTTGTCCACCTGAAAGAATGCTGGCGGTCAGGCACATACTCTTGACAAATTGAAACAGCGCTGTACGAAGCATGTCGACTCCCTCTCATTCGCTGAAGGTGGTTCCAAGGCATGCACATGCATAATCAAATTAAATACTATATATATATATACATACGCATGTGGATACATGCGCAAATGTTGCCAAACCTATCCAAATCTGTATGGCCCTTTTGGACCTTGTCTGGATGAAAGCGTTCAGCGCCAGAGTAGTCGTCGCGAGGGTCAGGCGGCTGGGTAAGGAGCATGGCACACATGGCGCAACGATGCATATGATCCGAATCGCTTTCAGGCAAAGGCACCTTTCTCATGACCCAGCCAGTCCTCACAGGAGGGGGCCACACCGGCAGGGAGGGCCACACAAAAATCCGCCCGAAAAAGAATCGAAGCAAAACTTGCCAAGTCCTCTTCAGCTTCTTGAGTGTGCCACAAATGTCTGAGACAAATGAAAGAGCATCAGTCGAATTTGCTGCTTCAGTTTTTGCACGCTTGGGCTTCGTCTCCATGGCAGCTTTGGGAAGGCAACAAAGCAAATGAACGCAGTCACGGAGTCATGCATTGCATGTCTTGCCTTGCAATATTCAGATGGTGCGTACATGCAAGTCGGGGCTTCCCTTGCAACACTCTGCTAGAAGGCTGTCGTTGACTGATCAAAAAAAAGAACTTATCACTATGATAACTCAAAACTCTTCTTGTCGATGAGCCTGCTTGTGTATGATATGAATGGAACATTAAAGTGAAGAAGTCAATGGAACATCTAACAAAATCCAACGCTCACACCCCTGCAAGACTGTTCTGAGGTCTCCGGCGCACCGGTGTTGCTGGCAATGCCTATCCGGAGAAACTGCGGGTTCATTCTTTTGATCAAGGCACAAAAGCCAAAGCACAAGCAGCAAGAGCCTTATGCAAATCCAGCAGAACATGGCGTACACTTGTGGTGCACTCTTTAACTTTTGGACTCTTGCAGTGGTTGCAGCCCTTCAGGTATGCTCATTTGTACAAGTTTCTGCACCCAGCCATACACAGGGCACTGAACAAGCATCCCCACAAGATCCACAATTTGGCTTCGCGACACTGCGAAGCTGATGCCAGCTTGCGAGGCTCGACATAGCTACATGGCTCAAAATTCTGTGTGTGTGTGCGCCTCAGACGCTCCTAGATTGGAAGTCTCAACATAATTTTCTGAGCAAGTCTACCTTCCAGCAGGAAACTCAGCAGGACCTCAGCTACTGTCGAAGTTGCCATTGGCTTGCTGACGGTGTGCACAAATCAGCACTTGTTGCAAGAGATTCGGCTGGAAACAATTTCAAACCTCGCGACATTCTCAACTGTCACATGCATGTATCAACCAACCACGCAGTTCTGTGCTATTTTTGCTGCACACATAATCAGAATCTGGTATGATGGAAGATTGAATCTTTGCTTGGAATGGATCTGCTCACAATGTGTCCAAAGACGCTTCACGCAAGCCAGACTCCTGATGCCAAGAAGCGTTTCCTACTGATGCTGTCCGGCTGTGGCAACGTCCGAACTCGGTCTATGTAGCGGCTGAGGTAGTCCTGGAAAAAATAGCATTGCTGGAGCAGGTTGGGCGTGAAATGACTTGGTCTGGTTTTGGAGCAAAGCTCAAGTAGTGCGACTGTGCCAGTGTGCCAGTTTGGGATTTCCGATCTATCTCTCTTTCTCTCTCCCTCCCTCCCCAGCTTTGAGCTGCCTTTGGAAGAACTCTGGAGATCTCTCGGCGAATGCTGCTGTAGGTCATCTGGCAAAAGGCTTTCAACTTTGCTGGCAGCAGTTGGGTCAATTTGTCAGCAACAACATGTGTCTGATTTGGAATCTTGCAAGCTAGGACCAGCTAGGAGCCTAGGAGCTACAACTTGTTCAACATCTCCAGACTTTGGACTGCTGGCAGAATCCACTGCACCTTGGCATAGCCTTCGCTCACCTTCGCAGCTTTGGCTACATCCTCCAACCTCAAGAGCCACAAACATTGAGACTCCAAACAACAGGGCTAGTAGATGCTTTCCAAATCTGTCTTAGTGTACGTGGAGGTAGTCGAGTCTATGGTTGTGCCAACCTTCTCCGTGCCTTCAAGTAAGCATTTCATTACATTCCTCGAATCATTCTGGCTAGTTTAGACACATGCAAATCAACCTGCAAGTCGGTCCTCAAAATGTGAATCTTGGTAAATTTACCGCAGATTCCCATGACCGTCACCGTCAATCAAAAGGATGAATCCAAAGAATTTGGGCCAAATTCGGGCTCCCTTCTGCTCCCTGCGGCCCTCGCACCTTGGTTTCTTCTCCACGTCCAACAGCCAGGCAACGACAAAAATTGCGCTGGCCATTGCACCAGTCACAACCGATCGCTCCGCCAAATCCTGAGAGCTGGTGAAAAAGCTAAAAGAGTCTCCCTAAATAAACGCTTATGTGAAACTAGATGCAAAAAGGATGCTGATGTTGGTTGCTTCAACTTCACATATCACTGCTTGCTGCGCTGTCTGACCCCGCCTTGCCCGTTCTTACAAGTCTGTGCCTCAGCCAATGTTCTGCAATATCTAGAGTCTACAGCATGAAATCAGTTCAATGTCACCAGATCACAGACATCTCTGAGTCCAATAATGTCGGCAAAAACACTTCTCACCTGATGCGTCCACTACCCTGAGGGATGGGCTTGAGAGCTTCAGTTGCAATGTGCTTTGCGGGTTTCACCACCTTTCCAGGTCTTGGAGTCAAAGGTCATAAAATGATCACAAAAAAATAGCACGGAAAGGGCACCAAATGCACCGGATTTGGGTCATGCCAAGGATTGTTTGCGTAAGGATGGGCCAACAGTTTCACATGGAGGTTTCTTGCCGCAGGTCAAACAATGTCAGCACACACGTATGTATGTATGTATGTATATATATATATATATTCGATGAGTCTCGATCAACATATGTCGACTGCTGCTACCCTTTTCTGCGAATCGATTCAGGTCTGTACTGTCTGTACTGAAGTGCTTTGGTTTGAAATGCGACCCACGTCGCTTGTGTCATCTGACATCTGACACTCTCCCTGTGGGAGCACTCCATCCGTATGTAGTGACCGAGAGGATACCGCAGGGGCGGTCCTACGGCCACAACGGATGCCAGCTCTGGACAGAGCAAAATGAAAAGATTAAATGAAACTCCCTAGTCATCGTCAATACCTGGAACCGGCAGGGCAGGTATGATGGCTAGGCGGCGGTCAGCCGAAAATGGACAACCGGACGGCAGCGGCAGACAGCACAGTCCCAGTCTTTCATGGCCGGCAGCCCAGGCTGCAAGCGTAGCAAGCATAGCCATGGTAACTGAAAGTAACCCAAAACACGGCCCTCAAGCACCAGCAAGGCCACCGGTGAAATGACTATCACCAGGAAATCAGACTCTTCCGGCAACAAGCCAAGTCAGCCACCAGCTCGACCAGCACCAGGTGGACGTGGAAGTAACTAATAGGGTGTGGCAGGGTGGGAGAAAAAGTTTAGCTTGAGGTACCAGCAGCGACACTGCTCCTCAAGGGGCGTCTCCCCAGTTTGGCTTGAGCATTCAAACATTGGGAGACGTTGATTCGAAGCTTCCCAAATAATTCATCATCACCGACCCTGCCTACCTTAAATGATTGAATATATTCGATGAATCTCGATCAACATATGTCGACTGCTGCTACCCTTTTCTGCGAATCGATTCAGGTCTGTACTGTCTGTACTGAAGTGCTTTGGTTTGAAATGCGACCCACGTCGCTTGTGTCATCTGACATCTGACACTCTCCCTGTGGGAGCACTCCATCCAAGGCACTAACGTATCCAAAGCACTCAAACGAACTGAAAGACCTGAGCGATGAGGTGGTAGGGCAGCTGGAGGAGCATGAGCAGGGGGTAGGTGTGGAAGAGACGAAAGTCATGTCGTTGGAACCACGTGTCATGTTCTCCCTGTCTGCTGATGCCATCTGACCAGTTGTCCTTACTCTGGACCCATTCAAAGTAGCATGCACTACGGAGTGCAAACAGAAGGCCATGGATAGCCCCGGCCATAGAATCCAGCTCATCGTTGTTGCTGCGGCCTCGTATGAGGGCCATGAGTGCAGCGATATTGTCAACAAACCAAATACCATGCATTCCGCGAGCTGATGAAGCATTATACGCAAGGCCCATGTAGACTGTCAAGAGCTCAAGCTGTGCAATCTTGGCCTCATGATTGGACCACACCGTGAAGATCTTTGGGCTGATGTGGACAACATAGGCCCTTCGACTACCACGGGGGTCAATGAACAAGACTCCCGCCGAACCCTCGCGAGGCCTCTCTTGCGCCGCATCGGATGCAGCCAAGTACCGGTGTTGTCGCACTGGATTAAACGGTAGTTCTCTCTCAGGCTTCAACTGAAGTAGTGCCCGAATTCGATCAAAGGATTGTTCAATCTCCGGTGTCATCACGACTTGCGAGGAGTATTGTCTTTCCTTGATGCTATGGAGGCCCGACCGGCCGAGCTTGCCGAAGCATCCCGCGGTCAAGAATCCCAGGCAGCCAAAAAGTTTGGCCGCCAGTCCTGGAGGGAGGCGACGCGTCTGAATGGCCTCCTCCATGATGTCAGTGACCTTGGTAAGCAATCGGTCACGGACCCAGAACTTAACAGGCGCACCCTGGTGGCAGGCTGCCACGTCGTGGATCAACCCCAGAAAGTCAGACTGGGCCGCCAAAGACTGATGTTTCTCTGTTTGGAAGGGTGAGCCAAGGCATCGTGCAAGTTCATTGACGAAGGCCTGGCCAGTGCCGCCCATAATACCCAAATCCTGGATTGTCAAGTCATCAAAGTACATGCTGGTCATGCAATAGGCCAGGCGGCGGCATGCAGCTTGGAAGAATCGGGGAAACCGATTGAACGAACATACAGCATTTGGTAACCCGAACAGAGAACCGTAGTATTGCCGAAAACGGGGGCCACCAACGTGGTGGTCGTAGTAAGCCACCACGGCCATGTTGCTATGTGTCGGCTTCATGGGGACATAGCGGTAGGCGTTGGGTAAGTCTTCGACCCCGGACCAAACACCAGCTTGCAGCAACTCAGACGCATGAGCCGAAGAGGAGGCTGCCTGCCATAGCAATTGAACATGGAGGCCAGGTTGAATGCTCGTACATAGATCCAACTTGTTCGCATCGGAGCTGAGTGCACTTTGCCCTCCGTCTGCAGCGTCATCGATGACTCGCAGCTTACCAGAGGGTTGCTGTATGCAAAACCTTCGGATCAGTCTGAATTGGGGGAGTTCCTGGCATAATTGGGCCCAGGTCATTGGGGGGCCACAAAAGCCTTTGGCTTGGTCCTCCTCACCCGCCTGGACAATAGCCGTGTCGTGTTCGCCTGGACGGAGGCTTTGAATGATGCGGGCAGCCTCTGGCAGGGCGTCCTGGTAGATGGAGGCGTCCGGGATGTAGTGGGCTGGTTGAGCCTTGTAGACGGGCACATGCGGGGAAAAGCCCACGGCGGGGAATCCATATATCAGGTTGGCCACGAACGTAGTGTCTGGCCATCCAGTAATCAGCATGATAAGCCCAATCAGGGCGATGTGGCGACCTCGAGTGGCTGATCGGACAGGTGGTGGCTGATAAGCTTGGAGGTGGTAGGCGATAGGCCACATTCGACGACTCAGTTCCTGGAGCCAACGGCCTGTACGTCTCCTCACCTCACGAAGGCCCACTCCCTGGGCTGCATAGCCAGATGCTGCAAAGATCAAGTCATCATCGACAACACCCATGGTTTCAAATGGGGTAGGTCTCTGCTGCAGTTCAAGGGCGAGTTCAAAATGTCGCTCCTCCCCTACGCCAAAGGGGATCATAGGTGGTAAGGCTTTAGCAGCAGCAGCCGCTCCGGGCTGCTGAAGGCCACTGATAGCAATGGCGTTGCGCTCCAATGGGCCCACCAACCATGGGCCAAAGGCGTGTCCGTCCCAGTCTGAGCGGTTTTGCATGTAGTTGAGCCATTGGTAGTGCGAGTCATCCACTAGTAGGTCTTCGAGCATGGGCCACTGGAATCCCTCCCAACTGACATCTGGACAAAGGGCCATGAGGCTGGCCACCACAATTTCCTGAGAGAAGCGCAGCGGGACCGCCCTGGCGGGGCGAATGCCGGCAGCAATGAGTGAGACCCATCGCAATTGCTCCCTGGTGGGATGGGCCTGGCCTGAGGGCGAAGTAGGACGTGAAGTAGTCCAAACCAAGGCTCGAATGATATCCCCATGACATAGCACGTTGTGGGGGCAGTCGCACACCAGAGTCTTGCCATGCAGGGATGGGAGGCGAGCCAGAAGATGGTCCTGGTCGGCAATCCATCTGGCGTAGTGAAGAACACTCTCAAGGGCAGTCCTGCCTTCCCCTGTCCGGAAGGGGTTTTGCCATTGCGTCAGTGGCCAACGATGGGAGAAGTGCCCGGGGCCGATGTACACGTCCATGTCTGTGAGTTGTGACCTCAGCTGTAACACATCGAATGCGACTTGACGAGTGGGCACATGGGACGAGTCCTCTCGTGGTGGTGTAAGGCCCAGGTGGAAGCCCATGACATTCATCAGGTCTTCTCGCAACTCGGACGGCTCGAAATGGAGCAGCGGTCGTACGTCCCTGAGGTGGTGATGGGCGGTAACCTTGGGATGGCGAGGATACCATAGCCCTGTCGTGCAGCCCATGCCGCGCAGCATACTGCTAGGGTGAAGACCAAACTAGGTGTGTACTCCGCTTCGTTGAAGGTGGAGAACTGCCCATTACCCGACGAGCGCCACTCGTTGGGGTCATGACTGTGTCCACATCGAACGGCCGGGAGGGAGGCTAACTCAGGGATGTTGTGGCGGAACTTTTGGGCTTTGCGCCGAGCTCCCCCGAAGACGCATGCATCGTAGTCCAAATCCTGCCAATCATCATCCTGGCACAGGTACTGCTCGACCGGGTCCCACCAGTGCAGAGACCTGAGCGGGTTCTCGCGAAGACATGCGAGGTTCTGTTGATGCCCCCAGTGCTGTAAGGCCAACAGATAGTCACTGGAGTAGTTGTCAGCATCGACCCGTGCCTGTTGTCCCGCGTCCAGTCCCGGTAGACCTTTTGGGTATTCCTCGGACTGTAGAGGAGGGGGGCCGGGCCGTTTCTCCCTAGCTCTTGATTTGGTAGCGCAACTCATAGCTCCCGCAATAGCCCGAGGAAGCACCGCCTGAATGGCCCGACGGACCGCCGGACGCGACACGTCCAGGTCCTGGTCGATCTCGATGTCAATCGGTGTGATGATCTCCCATTGGCACCACAGGAAGGCCTTGGACAACGGTGCATGGACCCCACTGAATACATCAAGGAGGACGGGGCAAGGTGAGGCTTCGGTCTTGTGCATATCAGTGGACTCCAACTCGGCCAAAAATGAACGAAAGTCATGAAAGACAGGAGTGTCCAAAGATTGGCCTCGCCCCCCCCCCAACAGAGGAGCGGCCCTCTTTTCAAGCAGCCTTGGGACATCCGGAGGGCGAGTGCTGGTAAGACCCGCAGACCCGTCCCGATTGCAACACGACGCCGCAGCGGTGTGCACCACGTGGGCAGTTCTTCTTGGTGCGGCACTGATTGCGCTGGTATGCCTGACAAAGCTGCGTTCCATCCCGAAGGCTGAAAACCACCGACCCCATCGGCCCTGCATCCGCAGGGGGGGCCTTGGCGGGCGACGCACCGCCAGTAGTTGTACCCGTGGTGATGCTGGGGGCTGGCAGGGCCCCGGCCAACCAAAGGGCATCACGCTCCCTCATGATGGCGCTGATAACATTGCCGAGTGTCGTGTGGCCCGTGCACCGGGCTGCCCACTGACCGCGCTCTTCCACATCAAGGTGTTGGACCAACTGCAGGCGCCGCCCCTCTGGGGTGCGCAGAATCAAATCATGGCAGCGGCTGGAGTAGGACAGCAGGACGTCATAGGGAACCTGGACGTAGTGCACACTGTCTGCACCGAGCGACTCAGGCGCAGACGGCGCCGGCTCCACGGGGCGACACCCCACAATAGCCAAGGCCAAGAAGTAGGTGTCCATCTTGGCCATGTAGGAAAGCCAGAACTTAGCGGTGGTCTCGTCCTCATCATCCTCTGGAGATACAGGTTGCCCGTCAGGCGTCGACGCTTCTGGCTATGGGCGCGCTGAAAGGTGAGTGAGCGGACTGTCCACAAATCCATGACCTCGAACTGGCTCCGTGTCAGCTGTCGGCTGAGCTTAGACAGAAGTCGGTCAGAGGGATACTGGCGAGGTTCTGGACGCAAGTGGTAGCGTCGAAAGAAAGCCTCTTTCAACTGTTCGAGCTCCTGTTTGGGAAGGAGCGTCTCTTCCTCCGTTGGCGCTGGAGGCAGACTGGCCGCTGCGTGCTCGGAGTCCAGTAAGGCTTTGCACGCCGTCCAAGCGAAGCGCAGCCTAGCAGCCTGGAGGCGCCCCTGCATCTCCTCATAGGCCGGATTCTTGATTGTATCGATGAAGAGCTTCTTGATTTCATCCTCACTGCGAGCATAGTGGCGGAATTCCGCAATAGTGCGAATCCCCAACTCAATGATCTTGTCTTTGATGCGCTGCTCAAAGTTGAACTGCAGCGCAAGAGCTGTGAAGGTGTCCTCCGGAGTAGCGAGCTGCTTGGGGACGGTGGCCATGATCCACAAAAGAAGACGGTAGGATCAACGAACGATAGAGAGCAAAGACGGCTGCGGGAGGTCACAGAAGCTAAGATTGAACGGAGACTGCCAACAACAAAGCGATGCTACAGCGGATAGCAAATGGAGCACAGCACAGTGTCAACCCTTTTTCAAAAACTCAAAGCCGTTCATGGCATAACTACTGAAGCCGCTTTGCAAGCTCCCCGAGCTCCAAGCTCAGGCATTGCAGCGCTGGCCAACCGATAGCCTCGCCTGCCGCGTGGGCCTCGTAGTGGGCGGTATAGAGCAACTGACGGAACGGAGCGCGATCGGCCTCATGGAGACTATCATGATGATGCGCCAAATCATCACATGTAGTGTGGACCAATGGGGCGTAGGGAGGCAAAGTACCAGGTCTCGGGGCCGCCGGCCACAATAGCCCTTCCAGCCTAGGCTCTGGGCGCGCTGCCTCCCTGGGCAGGTCTTGGATCTCATCCCACCATTCAAGGCCATGCCCTCAGTGCTGCAACCGTCGCCGGAGCGGCCTCAGCACCTACAGGAGGCGAATGACGCGGCCTTTGATGCAGCAGCGCGGGACCGCTGGCGCCGGCCCGGGCACAGCGGCGCCCCAGAGCCTCCCACGCTTATCTTCCTGGGTGAAGCAGGCAACGGCTCTATCTACTTGGGCGGTCTGCCCACGGACCGGGGCTGGTTGGAGGCCCACCACATCGGCATGAGCCTCAGCGCTATGGACAAGATTGCCGCCGACTGTCGGGGAGGGGTCAGCGCCCGCCAGGTCTACCAATTTAACGTTCCTGTTGGCCATCAAGGAGCCCTCCGTGACCGCCAGTTGAAGTTGGTGCTGCCTATCTTCCTGGCAACTCTATATTCGGGCTACTCCGTCCTGGTTCATTGCATGGCAGGGGTGCACAGGGCCCCTGTGCTGGCTGGTTTGCTACTCGCATGGATTAGGCGGTGCTCCTTCGAGGAAGCGTACTCCCGACTGGAGGGTTTGCGGGCTATCGACCGAGCCGGTGTGCTCAGCCGGCGGGGCGGCTCTGATATCTTCAAATGGGCTCGGAGCCAGGTCGACATCACGCCACCGTCCCTGCCGAGGTACCCAATTTCATTCATTACCTCTACGAAAGCAGGATCGCACTGGCATGTGGAGCGTGACAACGCGCCCTGGTGCAGATGGCGCCAACGCAATGCTGCCTATCGAGGCGAAGTCCACCGAGCTCGCAGCATTCATGAGGCCTTGGCCTATGGGCGAGATTTCTGTATCACATGTAAAGCAGTGCTTCTTGGCAATGCCCAGGTCCACTTGTACTAATAGCTGCAGTCCTTCAGAAACAGCACGCCTATACCGGGTAGGCCGAGAGGGCGTCTCGCGTGCTATGCAACCTTTTGCCTCATTTAGGGACTCGGCGGCCGGCCCGAGGAGTAGGTCCCTACTCTGAACGTCGATCAAGTTTTATAGTCAGTTCTTGCATGCTTGCTGCAGCTTCTCGTGTCCCAGTGAACTCCGTACTACACGCCCATACCTTGTGCCAATGGACCGGCCTCAGGCGATCCAGTTCGTTGCCGTGACACTGGCGCCCTTGGAGGGCGAGGCCAGACGGGCCCGTGCTTGGGAGGTGGGGGATCAGATGGACCAGGCCTGTCGGGCCTTGAGGGCCCTTCCCCCGACCTCCACCTCTTGTCTAGGGGTGGTGCAGGTTCAGTTGCGTGCTGCACGGAACCTATGTGAATCATGGATGACTTTGGGGGCCGGAGGTGTCGCGCTGGAAGGGCCTGCTGCTGCCGAAGATGAAGATGCCCGACGTGAGGTCGACGGCAAAGGTGGTGGCGCCCGCAAAGATGGAGTAGATGCCGAAGCTGATGAGGGCGAAACCACAGGCAGCATAGGTGGCACCTTTGGCGGAGGTGCTTTGGGCGGCGTCACCGGTTGGGCGCTACCGCCAGCAGCAGCCCTGGGTGGAGGCTCCACCCGTGCCCGCTTCGCCGGCCGCGAAGGACTGGTGAACGAAAATGTTGACACCGTGTTCCTCGGCCCCTGTGTGGGCTCGGTCACCGGGCCGGCAGCCGCGGCTGGGGCCGGGCGCTTCCGCCTGAGCGCGGCAGTGAGGCGTTGGCCAGTAGCTCGAATGATCTGGACCTGAGCTGGAAGCAAAGTCTTGACCACAGGCATGCCAGGGATGGAGTCCGTAGAAACCCGGCGGATCTGGGGGTCAGAAGCAAGGAGCTTGTCAGCCTCCTCCATGCAAGTGGACCATCGTGCAGAGGCATAGCAGTTCGTCCCACAACGCCATGTTGAGGTCCTGGAAGCAGTGCAAACCGGCCAAGCGCAACTGGTGTCCCAGGCGTTGTTTCCGTGAGTCATAGCGCAAAGGGGTGGTAGCCGTAGACTTGGAGGACTGATCCACCCATTGTCCAAGAGCGAGTCGCTCTGTCTCCGATAACCCCACATACCCTGCCAAGGTCGGAAGCACTCGGCGGAACGAGTAGGACGAGAGGCTGGTAACGTCCATAGCCGCACTCAGGTATGGTCGTAGGATCCGAACACACTGCGCTGTGCCCACCGGCTGGGCTGTAGCAGAGTCGAACCCCAACCAATGCCAGCGCCTGAAACCGGCGCCTGTTCTGGGGCGCACTTTGTTCAAATGGGTGCCCAGCACCTGTAGGAGGTCCAACGTGCCACAATACCGTGGAACGCTCCAGGCGAAGCCTCCACGACTGCCAGTCTTACCTTTCGTGCACCAGAACACGAGGATGCCCCCGTTACCGCCGACCAAGTAGCTCCGTTGCAAATGGGTGTACCTGACCACCCCAAAACATAGGGCGTAGGCACAAAACACCATGGGCCAGTGAGGACTATCAACGGTGGATTCCAAGGTACCCAACAGGTGGGTGACCATAGACGGTTCCAAAGTCGCCGCCTGCGCCTGCCCCTGGCCGAGGCGCGATCCCAAACCAGCCCGAGGTTTCACCACTTCGGAGAGGTCGAAGGGCAACTTGAGGTTGCGGACGAGCCACCCCAGAGCCGTATATGCCCTTGTAGGTGACTTGTGCTCCCGGATGAAGGTGGCCAGGAGGTGTTTGTCCGGGATACCTCCGCCTGCGGCCGCAATGGCCCCTTGAAGCTCTTGCCACGTGTGCAAAGCTCGTTTCACAGTGGCAGCCTCCGCCTTCTGGAGCACGTGCGTGAGCTTTGCCTCGAAGTTGGCGGTGATCTCAGCCAAGCGAGCCGCCGGCGGGGGCTCGACTGCCAGAAGAATGGCCATCAACTGGGGCAAGAAAGTCAATGCACCGCCGTCAGGGCCGCCCGACTGACGGCCCTGGGTGCTGGGCCGGACTGGCCCTGCAAACGATGGAGTAGGTCGTGGCCGCAACGGTGGAGATGTGGTAGGCCGCGGCGCAGCTTGCGAAACTTGTTCGCGGCGAACGATGTCTCGCACCAAGGCCCCAGCGCCCAGCTCCGCTTCGCGGCGCGCCTGGTCCCAGGCGTCCGCCACAGCGCGGCCCTGCTTCAGCGCTTCTTCGTAGGTAACGAAGTAAAACGCCAAGTCGGAGGGCCGTTCAATCCCATGGGCAGCGCACCACCGCTCCAGCTTCTGCTGTTCGGCAGAGCGGCGGATTTGCTCGTCAGCGCTTTCCATGGCGTCCGAAACGGGAAGAAAAAGTTTAGCTTGAGGTACCAGCAGCGACACTGCTCCTCAAGGGGCGTCTCCCCAGTTTGGCTTGAGCATTCAAACATTGGGAGACGTTGATTCGAAGCTTCCCAAATAATTCATCATCACCGACCCTGCCTACCTTAAATGATTGAATATATATATATATATCTTTCTTTTTACCTTATATACTATATCACAAGTGCAAGGCTGACTCTGGTACAGCCCAAGCTTGATGCTGTCCATTGAGCCTCTGCAGCAAGACCCAAGCTTCTCACGTAGTTTTTGTAGAGATCCTGTCAAGGACATACTGGCCCAAATTGGCCCTTGGAACCTTTCGAATCGGATATTTGAGTGCAACCTATATAATTCTGTCTGCGTCTCTCCTCGGTCTCCAAGTATGTCGCTCTAGCGCGGTCTAGGGCCTTGGTCGTTCACGATTGTGAGGCGAGTTGGTTCTTCATCGCATGGTATCCTTCACATCTGTAGACAAGCCCAAGGTAGCGGCAGAGCAAAGGGCGTCGTAGTGCTTTGTGATGAGTGCCACACACTTTTTCTTGGCAAGAAGTGATTTTGGACAGTGGGCAAGCTTCAGCTCGGTCTATTCACAGCTTGCCATCATGTGCTGAGTTGCACACTTGCTGCATATCCTCCAACCGTTGTCGGAAAAACTCCCCTAATTCCTCCTGGCTCTGGCAAACGACTGTTTTATGGCAAGATCATTGTATGAGAGCATCCAGTAAGCCTAAGCAATGCTGTGTGTGTGCAGCTTTTCAGGCTAAGGATTGTGCAACACGATAAACTATTTTGAAACAGTGATCGATGTGATTAACAGGCAACGAGTTATATATCATTCACAATATGTCAACTCAACAAGTGGAAAAGCTTTTGTGTCACACAAACAAAATTCAAAAAAAAACTGCAGGGTCACAAGAGATGTGGACTTCGTCGGAGGATGTTTACTTCTCTGGTCATGCCAGTCATGCCGCATGAGCGTTTTTTGAACAGTTACAGTTGGCACCACGAAGACTTTGCAACGTCCAAAAGCCTTTAACCCTTTTGCCAGCCTCACCGATCTGACCCCACGACCGGACTAGCAGGGAGGCCTGCGGCCACAAAGTTTCATTTGAATCATAGACCGTCAGGTCTTCCTCGATCAACTATTGAAAGTACTCTCCTTTTCTCCCGGGCCTGATCGCCAGGGACTAGCGCAACCTGACAACAGCCATAGTCCGCAAATGTTGAGAAACCTAGAAAGTGTTGAGTCTATTGAAAAGGCTGCTAAAGAAACATATTGACCCAGTTGACAACCCCAATAGCAAAGCATCCACCAAGATCTGGCGATTTGTTGGGTGTGCATTGTTCGATGCGTGAATTGTTTCACTTATCGAATATCGAAGACGGGGATTTAAAAAATAATGACATCGTAAAGTGCAATCCCGTAGTAAAACGATATCCAACCAAGACACCGCCATTGACCGAGACACCACCGAATCATGACCGAGACGCCGGGACACCACCGGGCCGGGGGCCGTGGATCCGACGAGCGCCTAAAGATGTAGAAGTAAAAAGATGTAAAAAGTAAGCAAATCAAACTAGTAGGCACTTGTTACTACTAGTAAGGCACTTGTTACTAGAAGCGATGCACTTGTTCCTAGTAGCTTCTTGTTACTACTAGTAAGGCACTTGTTAGTAGCAAATCAATGGACATCAAAGAAAGCACTCACTGTACTGTTGCGACAAACGCAATGCCATGTGTTTCTACAATCTCCTGTTGGCTGAGGGATCCCAGCCTTGACATTGCCTATTACCACCTCGCCTTTCAGCTCTTTTGCAATAGACGCCTAGAAAAAGAATCAAATCCGTTACGTGATGAAAAGCAAGTAGCCCTTTGGGTCGTTTGTCGGGGTCAAGCAGTGCTTCTGCAAACCAATCTGCCTGTAGTTGAGGTTTGCTATTTAGGAGATTCGGTTCAAAGACCAAGCTCAATCTTCATTCTGCAAGATAACATTTCAAGAAAGAATAAGACTGGTGACTCTGTGTCTCCCTTACCAGACGCTCAAGCGTCATCTGTACTAGCTAGCTTTGGGAAAGCAAGCTGTCAAACATGGCTCCAGCTGGACCTGGTTGAAAGTGGCAGTGATGATCCCCTCTTTGCGCTTCAATTGTGGAGGCTCCACCTGACATACAGTTTGAGCCTGGTGCTGCAACTCTACCAATCTCCAAACAACAAGGCTCAATGTCGTGAAAAAAAAATGTGTGATTGTATCACACGAGTGGATCGCGGTTGCTTTTTTTTTCGCTTTGACGTTCTTACTCTTTGTCCCGCAACTGAAATGGTTCCAAGGTGGGGCCCTTTGTCTCAGCCTCACCGTCTTCCAACGCAGTCCCACTCGTGTCCAATTGGCGTCTTCGCATAGTCAAACAGTCTGTAAAACGGTTACAATTGCATGGAGTTTGGTCGAACCTGTCATAGTCTACCTTCTTTGTGAAATCTCTTGGTGTCTTGTATGGTTTTGTGTGTCCACTATCCTTTCTTAACTTTCCACGTTTCATCACCTTTCTTTTATGTTCTCCGTGTCAACTTCCCCACGATGCTCCTTGTGAGTTGAAAGCTGGTCTCTTTCATGCACCATATCTTTACGTGTGTTGCAACCATCAGGAGCTCCCTTGTCAAGGGACAATCGAGGATCGCAAGAAGGTATTTGGAAACGTGAATTCCTTCTTGTGGCAGCCAAGAACAAATTGGACTCCCGCACTTGACGGAAGCTTAGGACCAAGGCAACTCTGGGAGACTTTTTATGGATACTTCACCTTGAGCTTCATGGCAACAAGATTCAATTTCACCAGCACGGCCGTGTGCGAACTGCGGGCGAGCGATTACAAAGTGTGTCATTGGTGTTCCCTTATTGCCACCAACCCCACGCATGTTAGGTAGAGCGTTCGGGTGCATGTTCTGGACAAGTGGGGCACCCTGTTCAGCAAGCCGCAAAGCTTGCAAATGGCACTGATACATAGCTATCATTATCATTGCATCCAACAGCATGAGTAGGATCTCTTTGTCATGTTTGCAGGTAGTTTTCGCTCAGCCATAGCTGGCCATGTTGAGAGGAAGCAGCGAGTCGTGCTTGGGATTCATGGATTTAGATGTCAGTCCCGATCTCAGGCGTTTTCAATAATTCAACCGTGGAGAGTAGATACTGTAGTATTCTTTTAGGCTGTGAGTAGGCTTAAGCCAGCTAATGTAGGTTAAGTTAAGTAACGTAGTACAGCAAGCAAGCTACTAGCTAACAGAAAAGGGCTCAGACTTTAATGATTTGGTTCCTAGATGTTCGGCAAAACTTAACTTGAAACTGGATTGCACAAGAATCCCGATTGCAAAGCCAACTCGCAGGCAACAGCCCCTCCCTGTCCGTTCGTTGTTTGAGGCTTTGATGTTGAGCTTGCTCACAGTGCTCACAGCTCGCATAGTCCAGTCCAAGTGAAACAGAAGCAACAAAAACAGTATCTCCGTACAGAAAAGTCGGGGAAAAAAAACAAAACACACACAGGCTGAAGCTAATCACGCGACCCGGCACAGAGAACTGATTTCTTTTGCAATTTTTCTGACTGAAGACCTGGTGTTCCCAAACGGATAGCTGCAGAATCAACTGGAAAAGTCAAGAAGATGAAAGAAGTGCCACTGAGGTTATATGTGACATGAAAATGCAATAGTTGTTTTCAACAAACATTCCATCTCCTCAAAGGCGCCTTGTTGGTAATGTACTGACGATGTGCGTGGGCAAAATCATGAACAGTCTTTTTGCCGTACGGCTCCTGACAAAGCAAAGGAATTGGTATTAGTATAATCCAAAAAGGGCTATATAACCACCCGCAATGGCAAACTTGCTAAAGCAATCAATCACAAACCTTTTACCAGTTGCTATTCAAGGTATTTCAAGGTTGTGGTGTGTCGTCAACCACGATCTTGACAGAACTATGAGAGATCCGTGTTATCCCTGTTTACAATATGCGTGGCATAGCAAAACCAGTGCTCCTCCTCACAAGCGATCTCCACCAATGCACAGTACCAGGCAGTCTGAACAAAGTTGTGCTGGTATTGAATTGCTCCACTCTGACTGCACCAAAATTGGTTCCTCTCCAAAAACATACAGGCTTGCCTGGTACCTCTCCTTGAGAAGGCCCTTGGCGGCCAAGTCCTGTGATAAATATAAATGGTGGATGATATCGACCATAAAATAGATCCTATAGAAAAGCAATATTTAAATATTGGTCAAATCGTGGTCTGGTTTTTTCGTATGAAAGAGCGGTGGAAGTTGAATGATGTAGGACGATATGAATAAGAACACTTCACCGCTCCTGCAACAGCACAGTGCAGCGGTTCACCTGCAGGGACTTGCTCTGATTGCTCACTCACATACTTCGGCTGTTCAGGCTCGGACGATCTCCTCCCCAAGATTCAGCCGCATCGCGACTTCTCGAGCCTTACGATGAGTTTGTGCAGCAAGAAAACCGTTCCTTTTCACTCTACAAGTCTATGACAATGATGGACAAAGCTTCTCTGAAGGTCAGCTGTCCAAAGGTCACTTGAACCAAAAAAACACTTCCCTACTGCCACCACATGTACGACATAAGTCTTGACATATCAGAGCTTCTTTCAACTACGATTGGAAGCACTCTCGATCCGACACAAGACCAGCCAGAAATCAAGCATCGACTTGGTTTAATGAGCACAAACAGGTGTTTTCTGGAGACTTACTATGGAAAGG